TGAAGCAGAAGTTTCTTTCATTTCTCTGGGCCTGGGTCCCCACAATAAAGACTTTCTCAGACAAACAAAAATTTAGGTATTTGTTGCCAGTAGACCTGCCTTGCAAGAAATGTTAAAAATTCTTCAAAGAACTTTTATATTATGTAAAATTATCATATCAAAGGAAAATGATTTGTTAGAAAATCAGATCTACATAAAGATCATCAGAGAAAGAATGAAGGTAAATTAGAAACTTATTTTTCTTATTCATTGATTTAACAGACAAGAGCTTGTTCAAAATAATAGCAATAATGTATTTGTGTGTGTGTGTGTGTGTGTGTGTGTGTGTGTGTACATACGTATATGTGTGTACTTGTGTATAAGTGACATGAGAGCAATGATTTAAGGAACAGGAATGAGGAATTGTGAATATTTTGTTATAGGGTACTTTCACTATTTGTGAAGCAATATAGTGTTACTCGAAAGTGGACTTGAATTAGTTGTAAATGTGTATTGCAAACTATAGGGCAACCATTAAAAAAAGGAGTATAATTGATATGCTGAGAAAGGAGAGGGAATGGAATCCTATAAAATGCTGCTTTGTTCCTAATTGCCAAAACTTGGAAGCAACCAAGATGTCCTTCAGCAGGTTAATAATAAATAAACTGTGGTACATTCAGATAATGGAATATTAAGCTTGCTAAAAAAGAAATGAGTTATCAAGCTATGAAAAGACATGGAGGAAATTTAAATGCATATTAGTGAAAAGCCAATCTGAGAAAGCTGCATACTGTATGATTCCAACTATATGACATTCTAAAATATACAAAACTTTGAAGACAAAAAGATCAAATATTGCCAGGGGTTACTGGAGAGATGAATTGGCGGAGCACAGGGGATTTTTAGGGCAGAGAAACTAGTCTATATGATACTATAGAAGTGGATACATATCATTATCCATTTGTCAAAACCCACAGAATGTACAACATTAAGAGCGAGCCCTATTGTAAACTGTGGACTTTGGCTGATAATGACATGTCAGTGTAGGTTCTTCAGTTGTATGTAACAAGTGTACCACTTTGGTACAGCGTTTTGATATTTGTGGGGGGGGTGTTTGGTGGGTGGGGAACGGAGTATATGGGAACTCTTTTGTACTTTCCGCTTAGTTTTGCTATAAACCTAAAACTATAAAAAAGTTTATTAATTTTTTAAAGTACAAAATATTGCTGAAATAATTTGAGACCTAAATATATGGTGAGATATACCCTACTGAACAAACATAAAATTCATTATTAATGTCACTTCACCCAAATTGTTCTATACGTTTAATGCAATCTCATTCAAAATCCTGGCAGCATTTTTTGTAGAAAGTAACAAGCTGATTGAATTCTTATGTGAAATGCAAAAGACCTAGAAGAGGAAAACAACGTTATAAAAGAAAAAAATTGGAAGATGTGAACTACCTGAGTTTGAGAATTATTATAAAGCTATAATAATAATTGTCTTATCTATGTTTTCAATTGCAAAAATGCGTCATGACTTTTCCGACAACCCAATAATTAGACCATGGTGTTGGCATAAGGATAGACATATAAATCAATGGATCGATTAGAGAGCATACACATAGTCCATAGGTTTTCAACTAAGATGCCAAGGTAATTTAAGGGTGAAAAGATAGTCTTTTCAACAGATGTTGCTGGAATAACCAGAGGGGGAAAGTGGACCTCAGCTCTTACTTATTAACACCATATATAAAAAGAGCTTGAAATGGATTATAGACCTAAATACAAAAGCTAAAAATTAAAAACATCTATAAGAAGATGCTGTAACCCTACGTATAGAAAATTCATCTAGCAATTTTATTGGCTTGTTGAAATTTGTGTCAGGATTTTCTTCAAAATTCTGATTTAAAGGTCAAGCTCATAAAAGTAGCATCAGGGCCAAATGGGAGAAAACAATATTTTGACTCAGGATATTCTGTACCTATAATCAGCATCATTTACCATCAATGCCTCAGTTTAGTAAATGTGGCAAATATTGCCACCATAGTGATATAATGTCGCAGAATTTTTTAATAGCTTTATTTGTTATATAGTCCTATATCTATAAGAGTCCAAATGTCATAATGGATTTCCTTCAGTTATGTTTCATTTTCATGAAGGCAAGTATATGTGCTAGAGTGACTTTATTTTATATTTTGTA